GACGTAGAAAAGGGAGAATACTCCTGAAGCATCTTTCAAAACCAGAGAAGTGACTGGCAAAATGATTGATGAAACTCATTAAATACAAGGTTACAATCCTGACAAAAGTAATATAAAGCACTTGGGAAATGATTACAGAATTGCTCTATGGATAAGAGAGGTTACACTAAACTATTATGCAGAGAAAATAGGAATACGGCTCAGAAAAATCTAAATATTTTAGTATAAAACTCAAGGCACCAATTTTCACAGAAAGTTTTTTTTCTTAAACAGCCTTGCAAGCATATGTAGAGTTAAGCTACACTCACATTTGTCTTATATTGGCAGAATGAAGTATGTGTGTGAGAGAGGGGGTGGTTAAAATACTGAGAAAAGTTGTCATTTGTTCAGGAAAATGGACTGGATCATCTATGGACCTGAAATTTATTCTTTCACACTAAACCTTTGACTACACTGACCAATTGTTGAAGACAATTTATTTATTTCATTTATTTCAAATATTTGTACCCCGCTCTTCTCAACCCTCGGAGGTATCCTTAGATAATCAGATAAATCTGTGTATTTCAATCAATCAGCTCTCTAAACAGAAAGATAAGAAACATTAGCATTCCAATACAGTGCAACTGAGACAATAAAGACATTGCATAAGGTAAATGTATGGCTAGAGGTACATTTCTGATTTTTTAAAACTTGGAAACTTTAAAAAAATCTTTTATATTACAAGCCCCATATTCATAGATTTTTTTCAAGGACACACTAAACTTTGGGTAATGGTGAACACTACTGATTGACTTTGGGTTGTGAACAACTTCCAGCATAAGCGTATTATAGAGTCATCCCGGAGGACCTAGAAAATGGCTAGAGAGGACACCTCTCCAGTTTTCACCATGCCTTCCAATGCATCTCTATTGTGAACTTCCAAGGGAAGCATACCCTAGTGTGCTAGAAAATACCTAGAGAAGGCATATGTTTTTCAGATATGGGTAGTTGAAACCATGGATTCTGTGTATACAAGACATGTACCGCACCGACAAAGATTAGTTCAAAAGAAAATCAGTTATTTTAAAGGGGGAAAAACCCGCTTCATGTGATTTAATACAAATCCTCATTGAGTTTTCCAAATCTCTCCTGGGACCAGAGGCGGACCTAGGTAATTTTCAATGGTAAGCAAACAGTATTTTGCCCCCCCCCCCCACCAACCAATCACTGATACATATTTTCTGTTCATCGTGGGAGTTCTGTGTGCCATATTTGGTTCAATTCCATCATTGGTGGAGTTCAGAATGCTCTTTGATTGTAGGTGAACTATACATCCCAGTAACTACAACTCGCATATGTCAAGGTCTATTTTCCCCCAAGAGCACCTCAAGAGCGCCCCTGGGCAAAATCAAGTATACTGCAAATGCTTACTTTGTGTAATGGGTTGAGCCGCCCCTGCCTGGGACACCAGTCATAGTTTTGATATCCAGATCAATGAGAATTTTAGGAGTAGATTTGATAAGACATCTAAAAGGATCTTATGAAAGAATTTAGAGGACATAATACATTTAGACTTCCCTAATGCACATTTCCTCTGCCGCCTTCCTTCTCTCTCTTTCTCCTCCAGGAATTGAAAGAAAAGATGGATGAGCTCCTGCCACTGATCCCAGTTCTGGAACAGTACAAAACCGATGCCAAGTTAATCACCCAGTTCAAAGAGGAAATTAGAAATCTATCTTCAGTTCTTACGGGGATCCAAGAGGAAATTGGTGCCTATGATTATGAGGAACTACATCAGCGGGTGCTTAGTTTGGAAACCAGGCTCCGGGACTGTATGAAGAAACTGAGTAAGTTCACAGTTGTGTGAAATACTTCTTTACTTGTACACACCTGGGGCAGTTCCAACTGTTTGGAGTTCTTACAATCAACCACAGTTTGCACAATATTGACCAGGGGAAATAGAATTAGGGATTATATTGAGAACACTGAGAAGTGATTCTTCTTAAATGGTAAGGGCATTTTGCATTCCTGTAACTTTCATCAGTGCAATGTCATATGATTGTGTATTTGTACTAACAGAAAGAGCCCCAGAGAGATTTCACATCCAGTCTTTCTTTCCTTGCCTCTATTTTGCCTGCTATCCCTGTGCTGTTCCTAGTATCAAAGGGAGATGCTGAGAATCAATTATTTAGAAGATAACGGAATTTCAGTGTCATCTTTTACCTCTGACTCAGTGTGCAGCCTCCAGGAAAAGCTGGCATACGTGATACTAAAAAACATATTATCTATTTTTTAAAGTTGTTCAGTTACCACCCACTTTTTAATACAATTACTATCATTTAATATCATTGGAATATGGATACAGGCAAAGCCACTCTCCTTCTTGGCCATGTGAGGGCCATGTGACCATTTGAAATTTTACTGCCTTTCATCCCCACATGGCCAAGACAAGGAGTTTCAGTGCAGAAGGACTTGCCCAGAAGATTTCTAAACACACTCTGGACTGTATAGAAAGATATGTGAACTATCCAGGGCTTTATTGGTAATAATCAGCATTTTGACTTGTACCTGTAAATGACAGGTAGCCAAATGAGCTGTTTTGACAGGGGAAAATGTGTGTTTCCTGTAGTCAGGCTTAGACCCCTTCTACACTGCCCCTTATTCCAGGATCTGATCAATAATCAGTTCATTTGAAATGTGCTACTGGAGGAGAGCTCTGTGGATATAATGAACTGCCAAGATGCCTAAAAAATGAGTACCAGAACAAATCAAGTCTGAGTTCTCCCTAGAAACCCAAAATAACGAAAGTAAGGCTATCATACTTGGTTGATATCATGAGATGGCATGACTCATCAGAAAAGTCAATAAAGTTTGGTAAATTGAGAAGCAGTAGAAAAAGATGAACATGGTGTTACAGGTTGACAGACCGGGGTGCATCTACACTATAGAATTCACACAGTTTTACATCACTTTGACAGCCAAGACTCAATGCTATGGAATTGTGGGAGTTGTAATTTTACAAGGTCTTCAGCCTTCTCTGCCAAAGAGTACTGATGCCTCACCAAAGTACAAATCCTCTGATTCCATAGAATTAGCTATAGCAGTTAAAGTGATTTATTTATTTATCATGTCATCCGCAATCAGAACATTGTATTACATTTCTAACAGAACAAAACAAACAAAGAGATAAAAAAACAAAACACAAATTTTGCAAACTCGGTAGCTGATTAAATGTCCTTTGACCAGTATCTGGCCACTTGGAGTGCCTCTGGTGTTGCCGCAAGAAGGTCCTCCATCGTGCATGTGGCAGGGCTCAGGTTGCATTGCAGCAGGTGGTCAGTGGTTTGCTCTTCTCCACACTCGCATGTCGTGGATTCAACTTTGTAGCCCCATTTCTTAAGATTGGCTCTGCATCTCATGGTGCCAGAGTGCAGTCTGTTCAGCGCCTTCCAAGTCAGCCAGTCTTCTGTGTGCCCAGGGGGGAGTCTCTCATCTGGTATCACTCATGGATTGAGGTGCTGGGTTTGAGCCTGCCACTTTTGAACTCTCGCTTGCTGAGGTGTTCCAGCGAGTGTCTCTGTAGATCTAAGAAAACTATTAAAAGTTAAAGTGATGACAAACTGTATTAAATCAATAGTGTAAATGTATCCCCAGTCAAAAAAGCCACGTGCCTTGATTTGCAGCATCTGATCAGGGTGGTTGATGACAGAGTTTCTTGGAGTTCTCTCATTTATAGGGTCACCATACCACTAAGTCACATTGACAGTGAATAAAAAGAAATGAATTTGTCCAGTCTCTTTCTAAAGCTCTCCATCTTGTGGTAGAGAATTTCACATTTAATAATAAGCTGTGTACTGTGTACACAGTATAAAAGTATCAGAAAAGAGAAACATCATGCAGGCACTTCAACATGACCTCCCTGTATGTGTTAAATTTCAGCTTTCCTATTGTTCCTCTTGGAAAAAATGATGTAGCCATGTGAACCTAGTTGGATCCTTCAGCAACAGAGGAACACAATGTATAGAAGAGCACTGTATAGAGCATTTCTATTCTGCATTCTACCAGCGTCTGGGGAAAATACTCAGACGACCTGTTCTCTCTTTGTAGGAGAATAAAATTGAATTCATTGCCTGACACTGCCTGCTTTGAGAGTGAGCTGGCATTTAATCTGGTCCTGAAGCTCACCCTCGGTTCTGTAGAATGCCTGCTGTCTCCACTGTTGTAGAAAATGTATTTGGCAGATGGTTTTTATGGCCTGCACTGATCTTCCTCTAAGCATAGCAGCACATTGAAATTATATCCCTAATAGACACAGGTAGTGGAGACATTTCTCTTACTGACAATCCCTTGCTATCGGTAAGTTGATAAGAGGTGCTTATTAGGAACATTAAGGTGGCATTTTCAGTAAGCACCAGAGTCAGGGAAAGCAATGTACACCTAATGCATTCAAAGGTAGTAATCTTTACCATTCATTTCAGAGGTGACAGAAGGACATAACAGGACAGGATGCCTTCACCTCCTCCATCACTTTCCCTCCTGCCAGCATATCAGTTTCTACAACCTTTAAAAGCTTCTCTTTTTTATTGTTTCCATGAGGAATTGAGACCTCATCCATATTAGTCATACTTAGCCCTTAGGTAACTCCTTATGGGCATCATCTCAGTAGCTCTGAAAGGCAGCTCAGAAAATAGCAGTTTGCCAAAGGACTAGGTTCAACTCCAGGACATGAAAATATTACTTTTAGAGTAACTCCCTTTGCTAGTTGAGATAATTTTGCCAATCTTGGGTGGTCTTCAGATTCAAAGGAGCACTGATCAATGTATCCCCTTCCATGCCATTAGGCCAAGGTGGACTAACCTGTCTGTGGTGACTAATGAGTCCAGCCATATTTTAAATATCCCATTGTGACCGAAAATGGTGCCACATCAGCAACACTATGGGAAATTTTGATTGTGGTAAGATCCAGCACCCTTGCACTATATAGAATTCTATACACAGTGGATGTGAGAGCACACCTATGGATGGGTTTGTGTGTAAGGATGGTTTATGTGTTATATTATAATTTCTAGAATTTCGCAGCATGATAGATGGAGGATTTTGGGAGCAACAAAATAGTGCCTCCAAGCTGTTGCTTAGGACAGGTGCCTACAGCGGGTACATGCCAGTTTTAAGTTGGCTGCCCACAGAAGTCAGGGGCTGACCCAAGGACTGTGAGGGGCCATTTAGTGCATTCCTGACTGCAGCATTTTGGAGATCCCCACTGGACATTCTGATACTAATTCTTTGGGAGGCACCTCACCCAGAACAGTTCAATTATTTTGCCATTTCCACACCAGGAAAACCTGACATTCTTTAGCTCGGTCTCATTTTGAAGTCAGCTCAAATCTCATGTAAGCTGTTAGCTTAACAAAAGATAGAAGTGTTGGTTCCAATTCAGCCAACATCAGTTGAGAGCTGCTCCTATTCAAAGCAATTGCAATTAACTAAGTTGTTCCACTAGCTTCTCTTCTTTCTTTGTTCTAATATTTGTGATTTTTTAAAAGCCTGTACAAATAGAAGCAGCTGTTATACAAAGAGAAGAGCTACAGTTTGGCAGAAACAAGTCCAGCACTCATGAGGAGGGTGACATTGGGAAAACAAGTAAAATGAGGCGGAGGACAAGCTTGGAGATGTTTTCTTTTTACTCTTGCTCCTTTTATCCCCATAGCAGCTGCTGGATTTTTGGAATTGTAGTCCAAAAAAGTATTCGCTGAAACCCATGCAGATGTGCAACAGACCCCAACCTGCTTTGTTTTTCAACTGCCCTTTGGCCTTTATGTTGCCTTCTGCCTTCCTAGCAAATCATGAGTTGCATTGACACTAGGCCATCTTTCAGTCTCTCCATATCATTTGCAAACCACCACAACATCAGTCCTTCACCTTTCTTTGTCCCATAGAATAGCAAGAGGTATGCCCCCTTCCTAAGAGAATAGCCACGAGCTTGGAAGCAATGACAGTAATATTTCCATTTCTCAGTATCTACCTTTTGAGGCAGTTGCCTCATTCTGCCAAATGGTAAGACCAGTCCTCTATGTAGGAATACTGTGAAAATAAAGATAGCTATTGGATTGTCCTATCCGGCCAAGGCCAGTATTCACATACAGCACAGCTTTGCAAGGTGGCCTCAACATTACTATCACTATCTCAATGAAATGCAAGTGTTGTTCCAGTTATGCCTGAAAGTTGGCGTAGCTCTTCCATTGAAGGGTTCTCTCAATAGAGAGGGATACATTTTAATTATAATACATCTTGAGGCTTTTCTTCTTCATTTTTCAAAAAGAATGTCCAGTAAATGGCAAAATTATCAAAGTGGTACATCACAATATTTTGAATTCTAATTTTGTGGATACTGGGCTAAGTTTCTATTGTAATGTTATTGTTTTTTAGAATTGTTGGGGGGGGGATCTTAAAATTGTATCTTCTATTATGAAAACCTAGAGAAGACAGCTTTAACATCAAGATAACAGAGAATTAAAAACACAACCATTTTATTTTGTCCATTATCTTATTACAAAGTCATCTTCTCAATTTTGCTCAGGGCCTTGGGGAACATAAATGTGATTTCTCACTCTGCAAGGTGTTTTAATTCAATGTTGGAGAGACAGTGCCTTTCCATCTTCACCATGTTGAGCTGCAAAAATAAAGAAGTACTTCCTCAATTTTTTTAAGGTTGGCTATCCAAATGTTTCATGGGAAGGAGACTTTTTTCTTATTGTTTGTATTATTCCCAAAATTGGGACTCGGGTAGCTTACTTTTAAAAAAAAAGCAATACTATATATAGAGTGGGAGATAACTTTCCTTTTTCTC